GACCCCAAGCTACCCCACTTCAGCTCCAACCTTCTAGCTCTCTGAAGTCTACCGTGCCTGGACCTGGGGACCCCGCCTTGTTCCAGAGCGCCCTCTGGCTCCTCTGCTCTAACTCCCCTGCCAAAGGCTTCAAGATGCCTCCCCTCCCTGCACACCCACCCATCTTCCTAGACAGGGCCTGCGCTGTGCTGCTCTCTGAGCCCTGCTGGAAGCCGACTGGCATAAGGTCAACCCAAGGCAGGTGCAAGGCCATCTGTTCACTCAACAGCCCTGGAGCAACTGGTGAATTTATAACTGGAAAAGTCTGGGGCCGTCCTGTAGGGCAAGAAAAGAAATCTTAATATGCTGGGCTCTCACTAAATGATTCCACACACTTTATCATATTCCACCCACAGCCCTGCAAGGCTGATGTTACTGACTCCCTCCTATGGCTGTAGGAGATTTAAGAGAGTTAAGTGACTCCTGCAAGAATGCAGCCCCACACGGGGGCTGTTCAGTTTCCTAAGAAGTGCGCGACCCCACATCTGTGTGTCTGGGCCCAGAAGTGCATGGGCAAGATGAGCCAGTGACTGCTGACGCCTTCAGATCCAGGCTGCAAAAGCACCTTCTGCCCCTTGGCTCTGGCATTTCGGCGTTTAGGAAATGCACTTCAGGAATGCGAGCAGGCCAGATGACCTCGTCAGCACAGCAGCTCATCTTCTCCTTTTGCTTTTACATGATGCCAACTTGGGGAAAGTTCATGCTTCCAATCCGAGCACTCTCGGAGTCTAAGGAGGTGGTTAGCAAGTGGGAGCCGAGCCTGGGCAACTTACTAAAACTGTCAAAATTAAAAAAGGGCTGGATAGCTCAGTGCAAAGGCCCTGAGTTCAATCCATAATATCCAAAACAAATTTTTTAAATTAAAAAAAACCAAACCTACCCTAGGTGGTGACCTGAGGCAGTGGTACTGAAAGCAGCTGAAGCCTGGAGTCCTAAGAATGTGACTCAGGTCTACAGGTGGATGCAGCTGCCAAGAGTGACAGTCAGGAGGAGCTGCACAGCATAAAAGGAAAGAAAGGCCAGAGAGGATGAAGGGAAGCCACAGCAAGCTGTGGAAGAGAGCGGAGACCCTGGGACTTCCTGCTTGTGTTCTCTGCAATTCTTGCATGCCCAAATTTCATGACTGTCCCTTGCTCCCTCCTCTGTCCCTGTCTCAGCATCTGAATGCTTCAATGCCTAGTGACCCTTTCTTGGGACACCCATGACAATGGAACATGATGTTTTCTCTTCAATTTCTCATTCTTTGAATTCTTCTAGGTAACACACATGAATCATACTTGAAAAATAAAGATTGTCAGTCCTTGGCAATCCACTGAATTGTTTGCTTCAGGAAACGCTAAATGCGTGCTTGGTGTTTTCCAAACATGCTGATGCAGCACATGATCCTTCCTAGAGCAATCTGCAGTAATCCACCACTTAGGACAAGGTGCCTTCCCCAGACAGTACCAGGATGATGATGTACTGAGACGCAGTCTGGCCTGTGTGCTTGTTCTGAGCCGTCTCCACATAGAAGACCAATTCCTGCTCAGCTGTTCTTCGTGAAGTGATGCTGCACTATTAAGCTAGGCTATTTTATAACCAATCAACCAGGAGTTCAGTCCCCGCTCCCTTCTAAAGAGTGAGGCAGCAATGTCCTATCCCAACTTTGCCCCTTTATCACAGGGGTGGTGTGGCTGCAGGCCGCCCTCTGGATAATAGCCCCTCCCCCCACCATCTTTTGTAAACTCAACCCATCCTCTCTAATGGGGTCTACACTGCTTCCACTACAAGGCAGAGGTACACGCTAAAAGCTGCAGAGTGCACTGGGAGAGGTACACAAGAACTCTGAATGCAGGCGTACCGCGATGTGCCACAAAAATGCTCTGAAGCCAGTGAAAGTGTGCAGACCAGAGGCACTGCCAGGAGCCCTGTGGCACCGGCTGTGGCTCCAGGGAGCTGGCCTTGAGCAGCCCTGCCCTTCTTGTGGCCCTCTATGCTTCACGCTTCTGCGTTGCCTGGTCCCCACACTCCGCTCACACTCTTGGCCAAGAAGGGATGGACGGGTTCTTGACAAGCTCTTGTCTGGAGCTTGGCATTGCTGCCGGCCCTCCACGCTCTTGGACCGGCCACAGGGGGGCAGCTGATCCTCGTGTGGAGAAGCTCACGAGATGCACAAGCACCTTCCTCACATGCTGTGAGCTCACTGCCCTGACACGGCTTGCTGGGCTCCCAGGAAGGAACTCTTCCACAGTCCTACACCGCGCCTGAAGACTCCTTGAAATGTAAATAAAACAAAGATGCATAAACAGAACACAACTCTTATGCCTAGGATCTTTGAAGGCCCAAAAAGCACAGATGGCATAAGATGGGGGACAGAAGACTGCCCATGCCCCTGCCCCCCAAGGCAGGCATACAAATCAGCGTATGTCACTTGTTCTTGAGGTCCCACACACAATCAGTACATTCCATTGCAGATACGGTCAGTATCTCCAGGCTTACAGGGCACAGACTGCATGCAACAGGGAGCGGAGTCCGTGCTTGCCCTGCCCCTAGGCTCAGCACCCTGCCGTCGGGAGACAGGAGCTGTGGGCAACTTCATAGCAGTTAACACTCAACACTGGGGACAGTTTTGTTGAGCACTGCCACATCTGTTTCTGTCCCATCTGTGACTGCTTTTACACTAAAAGGGCAGCGCTGACAGGTTGTGACAGAGGATGTGGGGCCTGCAAAGCCTGAAATATTTACTCTCTGGTCCTTTTTGGAAAGTACACCAACTCCTGCTCTGGTTGAGGCATGAGACACAGGTACTCTGGAATCCTCTCTTCACAGAATCCCAGAAGCACCCACTTGGTACTGCGCCCTTCTCACACCCTGTGGCTGAGACAACCTGACAACCAAGAGCACAGCTCCGGCTCTCCAATTCAGGGGCTGAGCCTTCGTCCAGGGAGACTAACCCAGCATTACCACCCACCTGCACCAAGAACAAGGCCAGGTGTGGTGTGCGGAGCAAACTCAGTCCGCCCAACACCTGCGGCCTTCTCTCCTTTGCTTTCCAGGATCTGCTGCCACCGCGAGGCCACTCCAAGTCACCCCACTATTCCTCCCCTCCTGCCTTAAGCCCTCTCTCTGTTTACATGCACTGTACTTGGGGACAAGAGCCCAATGTCCAGCTCAAACAAATGGGATGAACAAGGCAGACTAAACAATAGCAGTGTCTGCTCAAGCCGGAACTGAAAAGCTAAGTCTTAGAGGTCCACCCTCCACTGGCACACTGTGAAATCAGCCTCTTGGCCAGATTCCTTTATCTACAGCACAGCACCCCCACATGGTGTCAAAGGGAAGGACGGCCTTCCTGGAAAGCTGGCTGGGATGCCATCTGAGGCGGCTCTGCACTCGCTGGGCAAGGACTTTACATCAATGTTATCCACATTTCCAGCCTCGGCTCCTTCACAGATAGCTCCTCGCTGGAAACTTTACACCAAGAAGTATAAACTCTGACCTCTACAGAAACTCACTAAACCGCAGCAAATGGGATTCAGATGTTTCCACGTACAATACAGTGATGTGACCTAGACTTGAAACACTTTGGCAAAAATAGGAAAAATGATGTGGGCTTTGAGTCCCTCCCAGAACATGATACAGCCTTGACCTGTGCCCTACAGAGATCAGAGCCTTTCTCACCCCTGCTTAAGCACTCCCACCACACCCACATTCTCTGCCCCTTTCTTGTTCCATGGACCCCTATCCACAGTCCATATCACTTTCCTTGTTTTACCAAAGCTGCCAATTTCTCCTAGTCAAGCCAAAGCGGATCACACCCTAAACTCAGAACTCTGAAAGATCCTGCAAGGAGAATCAGGCTGAGCTCAGGAATGTGCACCCAGGAAACACCCCCCACAGCTCATACTCCAAGCCCCCTAGGGGTGAGCTGGGGTGAAAGAAGTCCCACATAAAAACCTGGCCCTCCAGACTTGCTGGCTGTGCTGCAATTCCCAGTAACTCGTGGGTGAGGGCCAGAGAATTCAGAGATGGTGGTGCAAGATACAAGGAGGGGGAGGGGCAACGTCTTGTGCCTGGGAAGGGCAGACACAAAATAGCATTAGAATCTGCCTCCATAGAGTCAATCGTGACAACCCCTGCATTTCATGCTTTCAGTAGATACCAGGCTCTGCAGGGGCAGCCCATCTGCCGGCCATGTGGGCTCCTAGGGGTACCATGCACAAGCTGAGATGTGTTTGGCGGGGTACCAGCACAGCCAAGTGATCAAGTGTGAGCCCAGGCAGGGCCAAAGTACTCAAGAACTCTCCCCACCCCTCAGAGTACTTGTCACAGGTTAGGGTAGAGTCTTGGGGAAAGAGGCACTCTAGGGGCCAGGGCTAAGGGAAGCACCCAGCAGTCCCTAGGGATGGATGTCAAAAAAGAAAGAAGCAAGGATTCTGAAAACTCTCCCCTTCTAGTTCTTACCTTTCAATTAACAGTGGGGTGACCCAGAAGCCCGTGGTCCCTGCCAGGGTTCCTTTTCCAGGTATCAAGTACAGAAGGGAAGTCAATACTCCCTACCCCCACCCCAGGGTAGGGAGATCCACAGCCGAGCTGGGCCCCGTGACGCCTGCATACACACCTGTGCACCCAGTGTTCTCTACACCTGGGCAGAGGCGCCTCTTCATCGGAGGCCCAACAGCCCTGCGTGCACTTCCAGAGCTGACTGCGGCTCATTGCTCTGTGTAAGCCCCACAAGCCTCCAGCTTCAGCCCCTGGAGCTCCAACCACTGGGGGAGGGGATCCATCCTCCCACCCCCTTTGCTGAAGGGTAGGAAGGTCTGAAAGGAGTTAGGGGGTGAGAGAGGAGAAGACGCGGGTTCTTTTAAAACCCCTGGAGGCTAGATTTTCCCTGATCCCGAACGCCCACCCCACCCTCCCGGGGACCACCCTGGGCGTCTCAACCGACCAGACGGGCAGATGCAGGGGGGCGCGCGCAGTACCAGGCCGCCGGCGGCGCCGCAAGCGCTGAGCGAGACCAGAGAGCCCGGATGACCCAGCACACGGCCCGAGTAGAAGCAGAGCTCTGCGGCGGGGCGTCCGCGGCGCCCGGTGGCGCCCGCCTCCTCCACCTGGAAGCCGCGGGACAAGAAACGCAGGTCGCGGCGCAGCTGCAGGTACAGGTCGCGCCCGAAGGCGGGCAGGTGCAGCAGCAGGGCGCGCTCTCCGGGCCGCGCGCGAGGGGAGGTGGGGGGCGCTCGGGGTCGCCGCCGACGTCGGGGCCCCGGAGCGCCGGGCAGCGGCGACAGGTGCACGTCGTCCGGGCGCACCCGCCACGGGAGCACCACCTCCACGTCGGCCGCCGCGTCGCCAAGGGCTGTGGGGAAAGAGGAGCCGCGTCAGCGCCGCCCGCCCGCCGCGCACCGGGTCCGAGTCCGGCCCCAAGCGGCCAGGCCGGACTGCTCTCCCTCCCTTCGCCCGGGTATCCGACGCCGACCTGGCCCCCTGCAAGGCCGCCACCCCGGGGAGGTCCGGCAACAACCGCCAGAGTCCCGCGGAGACGCGGCTGGGGCGCAGAGCGCCGCAGAGCACCAGGTTCTCCCAGCCGAGGAGCCGCTTCCTCCTCCCTGCGCTGTCAGCGTCGGCCCATCGCGCTCTGGGCAGTGGGGGCGCTACCTGTGCCCGGATCCAGTCCCCAGACCAGCAGCAGCAGCAAGGGCAGCACCAGAGGAGGCAGCAGGGCGCCGTCACACATGGTACTCGGGACCAGCAGCCCCAGACCGCGGCGGCGGAGCAGGAGCGCGCGAGGCGGCGGCGCCAGCCGGAGTGGAGGGTTGCAGCCTTTGGAAAAAGTAATTAGCGCTGCGGACAAACCCAACGTGGTCAACCCTGAGCCCCGCCCCCCTCTCAGAAGGCCGGAGCTGATTGGGTGCTCATTTGCCTCTACCCCTCCTCCTCCTTCCTTATTGGTTAGAAGGGGTCGACGCCAAAGTGCGTAGTTAGGTTGTAAGCATTTTCTTACACGTGGTTTCTGGGCAGTAGCGGAGACGTGACACCAGGTGGCGCGCGGCCGCCGACTGGGACCGTGGGATCAGGACACCGGACCAGACTTGAGTTTGTCATTTTGGAAATTCTCTCCCAGTCTGCTGCCGAGCTTCCTGAAAAGCAGGCCAGAAATCGTCCCGGCCTGCCAGATACATCCAAAAGAGCATACTCTTCCGGCATTTCAAGTAAAACTAATTGTTGGAAGCTGGAAAGACTCCGGATCCAGTTTTCTCTACACTGATGCATCCAAGGTGTCCCTTGGCACCTGCTAAGGTCTTTATCCTGGCAGCAGCCAGGTGATTACCCTCTTCAGACTGAGGGAACGAGGAAGACAGAGCACAAAGAACTTGTTTAAATTGTCCAGCAAGTTTCTGGCAGTGATGGCGAACCCCCTAGACCTTTCCAAGATACAAACAGCTGGCTGTGGCACGCATGCCATTGGTTCGCATCCCTGGTAAGCCTGCCCTTTGGCCCGGTGATGCTGCTAATGGTGCCCTAATGGAGACAGGAGTTTTAGCCAGGTTTTTCCAAGTTAAGACACTGAAGGGCAAAATAGCAAAGCCTGAACTTGAACCCAAGTTTTCACCGGCAGGAGTGGATTCTTTTCCCATGTATCTATAACCAAAGTCAGTGGGTGACTCTGTCAGCTTCTTAAAGAACATCTTGTGGAAAACAAAACAATGTATAATTGCATTAGTCGCTTTTCTTGTCGCTGGAACTCATATACCCAACGCTCACAATGTGAGGGAGTAGAGGTCTGTTTCGACGCATTGTTTCGGAGGGTCCGTCCATGCCTGATCTCGGGCCTTGAGAGAGAAAGGCCATAGTGGAAAGGTAAGCTGTTCTCACTGGACATCCAGGAAGCCGGGAGAAAGGAGGGGTCTCGGAGGGAGGAGCACCCTTTGAGCTCCCGTCCACATTGACCCCCCTCTGCCAACGCCTCCTCACCTCATAACAGCACACTTTGCTATAAAGAGAGCCCCTGTAAACCGATCACCTTCCAAGAGCACCACTTCTGAACGTGTGAGACCTGGGGGAACATTCTAGAGCTGCACTGTAACAGTAAGCAAAGAGTTTCAAGTCTTTCCTTCTTCCCTGTCCTATTTTCTCAAAGCAAAAAGGTGACAGTTGCCTATTGAACCCTTTGTTTAAAATCTCAGAATCTAAATTGCATCAGAGGATTCTGTATCATCAAAAGGTACCCAGAAGCAGAGCAAACACTGGTCAGTTTTTGCCAGATTGGAAGGCTATGACCCTCACCACAAGTGCTGTAGTTGCTGCCCCCAGGAAGTCACTGGCTGCTTCATGGTGGCCTGCAGCATGGGCCCTGTCCTGCAGCTGGCCAGGCTTGGAAGCTCTGTTTCCCCCTCTCTGAGTGTGTTTAGGTCAACAAAGGCTTTTATAGCACAAGGAGGGAAGATGAACTTCTTATTACAGCTTTTGGGGGTATGGGGTGGGGCAGGAAGCCACCTCAAGGGCCTGCCACTAAAAGTCACAGAATATGGACCACATCAGCTCACAGGACAATTGCTTTGGCCCTTAGAGTCAGCCAGAAACAGCCACCATCATCCTATCAGATGACTCTCAAGTGCTAAAATGTGTCCACAGTGACATGGAAATGCAGACAAACACAAGGCATCATTTCATGCCCAGAATGACCAAAACTTGGAAATCTCAGATACTGGAGAAGACACTCCTGTCCTCCAGTAGAGTATAAATTGGCACAGACATTTTGATGAACTGGTAGGCAAACTAGTAAACACAAAAATGCAAACACCTAACAACTCCATGATCTTCTCTGGTTACTACCTAAACACGGGCACTGTGTTACAAGAATATTCACCACGATACCTTAGTAAGAAAAAAAAGCACAAAACAAGAATGCCTTCATTGGATAAATGGATCCCAGAACACCATGCATTGATTAAAAGAAATCAGAAGCTCTCACATGTATAACAGTAGGAACAGATTTCTAAGATGAGTCATCAGGTTTTTTTTAATATGTGAAGTCATAGCATGATACAAAGTTGGCAAATGTCCTCTGGATTGGCCAGCTGAGAGTTCTGGACAAATCCACCCCTTCCAAACTGTAGACACCCCTGCTGCTGAGCAGGGCCACGGTCATATACCATGGCCGGACACAAGACACAGGGAGGCTGCCACATGCTTCCGGTAGTCGCAGAGCCTGACCAGCAGCCTACTGCATTGATCCCACTTCACTGTGAAAGTGGTTTCTCTTTTGGAGAGTTTCCATTGGCTTCCAATTCCTGAACAAAAGAGAAGGCATCCTTGCAAAGCCTGGCACACCGAGCACAGGTACTGTACCCTGTGTCAAAACCACATGTTGCCAACGCATATCAAAGCTCTGAAAATCCCATCTCAGACTCTGTATACAATAGGAATGTAGGCAATTCAGCTACCTGGTGGAATTTTCAAGATAAACGAGTAGAAAAATAACAAAAATCCCTTTGCCAAAGTAATCATTTGAGTTTTCAGAGAGTTGACCTTCAGCTAACTTGTTGACCAGCGAGCACTTGGACGGCAAGATCACCTCCTGCAGAGGGCATGGGTGCCCACTGATGGCAGAGCCACACAGACTTCAGAGAAGACCAACGCCCTGCATTCAGGGGCAGCTGGCGTGGATGCAACAGGCACCCCCGTGCTGCTGGTGAACGTGTGTGTGCTAGCTTAGGCAGTGGGAAGGGGCAGGCTGAGGACACACTTCTAGATCACTCACATCAGGTTGATGAGAGATACAGTAAACTGTATCTCTCAAGTGGCAGCAAAGTGAGACTCCCGGGTGAGCAAAGGTGACGTAGCTCAACTTCTGAAGACATCTGTGCTCAATCACGGGCCAAGGAAAAATCAATAGTAACTGCATGCGTTCAATTTTTAGTTCCTTCAGCACCTTGTTAGTGTCTACTCTGAGTGTCAGGAATTGAGATGCCAAGTGGAGATTGAATGGCATATAAATCCCATCCTCGGTTCCTAGTCTGCTATTGAGGCCTCTGCTATGGAGCAAGCTGAGGACTGAGAAACTGAAACGTGAATGTTCTCTGCTCCATCAAAGAAAGAAGACACACATCCAGAGCTAATTACATGGGAATGTGACGCGGGGAAAGCAGGGCATTAACACATAAACTCCAATGTCTAAACCAATGGGCATCAGGGATTCAGCAGGCATTTCTCTGCCCATATCCATAGCGACATTATTCATAGTCTCCAAAAGGCAGACACCACCTACGTGCCTGTTGTGGATAGAAGGATAAACAATATATGGTTCGAATGTCTGATGAAACATCACCCAGTCTTTGAAAGAAAGGGAGTTCTGGCACAGGCTACAGCATGGGTGAACCTTGAGGGCATTGCGCTGAGTGACAAAAACCAGTCACAAAGGAGAAACCCTGAGTGATGCCACCCATGCGGAGCACCTAGACTCGTCACAGTCATAAAGGCTGCAAGCAGGATGGTGGCCAGCAGGGGCAGAGGAGGGAAAATGGAGAGTTCACATTCAGTAGGCACAGAGGTGGAGTTCGGGTGGTCAAACAGTTCTGGAGGTGGGAGTCATGGGCTCACCGTATGGTGAATGTACTTTCCATCACCTAAACCTAAAGTGGAAAACTGTATGTTGTAAACTTTTTATCATACTAAAAATGCTTTACAATAGAAATCACTGCCAGGTGTGCTGTAATCCCAGCCCTTGGGAGGCTGAGGCAAGGAGGATCGCTGTGGGTTTGAGGCCAGCCTGGGCTACAAAGTAAGTTCAAGTCCAACCTGAACTGCATAGTGAAAGTTTGTCACAAAAAGACAAAAAAAAATTATTTCTGTTTGTCTTCTCTTACACATGAAATGCCTTGTGTTGAGTTTGTGAAAGAGCTGTACTTAATCCCATTTTACAGAAGTCTGGAGGGAGATGAAAAAGAACACAAATAAGTAAACAGAGATGTGGCAGCGGTATTCTGAAGCTCACCTGGTAATGCAAGGCTAACACACTTTCTGTGTCTCGTATCAAAACAATTTGTTGGCCTTGCAATTGACGAAGCTCCTAAACTTGTCAGCTTTTCCCCTTGCCTTCCCGAGCAGCTTGATTTTGATAATCTTTTCCATCATGTTCCTGGAAATGGCCCCAGGAAGGTGGTGACCTCAGCTCTCGTGGGTGCCTCCCCCACAGCAGCCCCACTTGGATGCAGGTGGCCTTCAACCTGCCTGTGGTGGCTGTCAATGAGGGCAGAGTGCTCCTAAACAGGAGGCCTTGTGTCAATGCTACGGGGTTCAAAGCCCAAACTTAGAGGCTGTTATGGCTGTGTCTAGGCGTCCCACAAAGCCTCATGCTCTCATGGGGCAGCTTCTAGAATGTGTGATTCATTCATGATCCAGTGCTGGGATTACGGGTGTGAGTGCTACCCCTCCCCAGGGCGGGTAGCCTGCACGCAGTATAGGGAAGGGAGCGAGGCCTGCTCTTGTGCTGCTGCCACTGCTGTTCCCTTTTTGCTCCTGCTATTTTGCTGTTTTCCTTACCATGAATGGCTGCCCTCTGCCCTGTGTCACTCTGCCTTGGAATCAGCTGATTATGTACTGAAAGCTCCATAAACTATGACCTAATTAAGCCTTTCCTTCCTTAATTTTGGGTACTGGGTATTTTGTCCCAGCAATGAGAGAAAAGTAACTGAGACAGAGGCCAAGAAGGACTGGAATGAAAAGGACCAGGAATGCTTAGGCCAAACTTTACCCCTTAAATCTCCCACCCAAGGCTATCTTTA